TACCTTAGTTTTATCAGTTACAGACCTGATCACCTAACAGCAATAAAGTGAAAACAAAAGAAATACAGAACAAAACTATAATAGCCACCACACACTATACACAACAGTCACTGTATTTTCTTTTTGTTCATTTATGCTTGCACAGGAACAACCCCAAACCTACTCTTTGCTTCCCTTAGCTGGCAAGTTTGGAAATATGGCATAAAAAGCAATTTAGCATCACTTATTGTGAGCAGACAAGTACCTGCAGAGTGGTCCCTGTCACAGGAGCTTACCACCCACAGTGCTGCTCCCACAGCTACCTCCATCCATGTACAGGATCAGCTGCAATATTGGGCTTCAAAAGACAAAGCAGAGCATCTCCAACACTATTCCTTCACCTCCCCTCATTATCACTTGCTGTAAGCCGAAGAGAGCCTCCAGAACTGGCGGTCTGCAGCAAAGCAAAAAGGAAAGGCCAGAGGCCTGTTGCTGGAGGCATGACAAGCTAGCTGCCCAGCAGGTTTCCGTTCTGCCATTTAACTGCTGAGCTCCTATACGACTTAGCCCAAATCAAATATCTTTGACCACATCTAACCTGATGTACAAGCTCTGATTCACCATTTGCCGTAGAGCAGATTCCTGTGCAATGCAAGGAGTATTTCTTAAGGACCTAACAACTTAACAAGGGGCAAGCAAGGGCATGACTTTACTACACGCCGGCTGCTCTGTGGTAACCACGTATATGCTTCACCCTATGCTAAATGGGAGTTCATGGTCTACTCTTTCATTGAAAAGTAAACTCCATTCAGTTGCTTTGCATTTATCATGTGCAGAAGCACGTGGTTGGGCATTTACCAAGAAGCGGCTGGTATGCATTTACCTGCCACCCTATAACAGCTTGTCTGAGTGTCCATTCCCCAGCAGCTCATGGACTGATCATACTGCAGTGGTAATGGATTGAACAATCCAGGCCATGAAGCAGATGTGCTGTCTTGCAAACCCAAAGCTTAACAATGACACTAAGTCTCTATATTTAACTGACTGCAGCTGCAGTGGCCCTTTACCTGTCCCTCTACCTGCCTTAGAAGTTGCCGTCAGAGTGCAAAAAAAGGAGAAGGACGCAACTGGAAAGGATGGAGTGGCAGACTGCTCTGCTCCTGCCATTCCCCACCTCCCTTCTGCTCCATAAAGACCCAACAGGTCCCAAGACATGGCCTTCACACAGTGACAATCCAGCAAGAACAGCCCAGGAGACAAAGCTTGCTGACACCAGGGCAACCCAGTACCAATGAGAGAAAGGGTCGTTATGACCAGCAGGGGAGCTGAAAAACTGCCTAAGGAGCAAAGGGTCACCATTGGCATCTCCACAAAGGCTGCCTGCCCACAGGCAAAATGACATAACAGCAAAGAGAAACCCTGGGGCAGGACGCGCTAATGCTCCAGCACCAGAGGTTAATCCCTGGGTGCATGAGGGGCTGTCAGCACTCTGCAGAGGTGCTAATCCATGGCCAGGTGCCTGATGCAGCCTGATAACCCCTCCTGCACATGGCTCCTGGTTCACCAAGTTGATGCTGAGGCTGGGTGAAGTCCAGAGGAGGATGCTTTCTCTCTTTAGTAAGAGGTCTATAGATTCAGCCATTTCCAGTACATGAACAAACCAAAGGCTTACAGTTTTGGGCAGCAGAGCTTAATCTCATAAGAAGTTAAATCATAAGCAGTTCCATGGATGCACAGCACCAGCAGAGAGAGAGAAGCAAACACTGCAGTCTGCACTGGAGTCCTCAGAGTCCTGATAATTTGTGTAATCTGAAACATTCTCCTGGCCACCTCACACCATGCTCAGGGCTCCCGGAGGAGTCAGAAAGCCACTGCTCCAATGGCTCTGAGTGCTGCTGAGTGGATAGGATTATTCACTACACAGCAAAAAGCACCATGGCAATAACCATCCCTAGTGTGGTACATGCAACAGGCAATGATGCCTCTAAACTGATGTTCATGCTTGTTCCCCAGCAAGCCGTCTGCAGTGTAAGGTAGGTTATTGCATGCCTGAATTACCAGCTGCAATACCACTGACATCTGGTTTCAAGCTCAAAAGACCTGTAAACACAAAACTTCCACCTAAACATAAATCACATACATACACCTTTGGCTAGTGAGACAGCCAAGCCTACACTCCACTCCTTTAGAGGATTCTTTAATCAAAGAGAGGATCTTTACTAGCTTGTTTCTTTCGTGCTAAACCATCTTCAGGCATTAACATTTAATTTTCCCCAGACATTGCTAAGATCCTATACTAAAGTTTTTCTTTATTATCCCAAGAAAAGAGAAGTCCACTTGTAGTAGGAAACAGCCCTCCCTTTTCTTAAGACTTCAGTAAATGGACTGAGGAAACTCCTGAAAAGCTTTACTGGTCCCAGAGAGAAGTCACTGTTCATTGTGGGTGACCAGTTTTGCTCCTTGCTCAGATTTTCGGCTACTAATGCCACAAGTGCAATCAAAATGCACATCTCAGTTGTAACCCCCTACTATCCTTCAGAATCACCTGGCCCAAATTATATTATCAAAGCAGAGGATGTTACTACATTCACCCATTATTGAATTCTGGGAAAAACGCTTTGAGATCAGCCCCAAACTATTTTACTAGCTCTTCTCAACCTTGCTGAAAAAGCCTCCAAATTACAAAGTTAATTGGCAGCACATTGTTACCATATGTGGTGTGCAAGAGAAGCACTGAAGTTTATTTAGGCATCAGGACCAAAGAAGAGTGGAATATTACTGCTCTTTATGAGGATTTTGTGTTGGCCTTGATTACTAAGGCATCCCCAGCCTTGACCCTCCTGTGTGTAGCCTGCCCAAGATACCACAGCACACTGCAGCACGGGGGCACCAATCTGCCCCCATCCCGGTTCCCCAGGAGAAACTCAGGCCACATACTGTACGCTGTGCTTTTGCTTACTAGACCTCAGCATTTTCCTTTTCCATTTTCATATGCTTCCTTCTTGAGTAAAGTTTTCCAGGCTGTCTCAAATCTCTAAAGCATGGCCCTGAACCCAACCAGCTATGCTCTGCGGCTGCTGGGTCATGCTGTCTCTTGTGGAGCAATTCTCCTTGCTCTAGCTGCCTCACTCATCTTGCTAGATCGCTGTCAAATCTTTAATGAGAGTTGGATTCTTGGCCTACAGGCTCTGATTTCCACTCTTCCCATTTAAACTCTCAGTGAAAAAAGGTCTGTAGCAAATTTGTATCACCAGGATCCTACTCAGAGTCTTCTCCCCTCTTTACACTGGCAGCAGTAGCTTCTGTGGGAGCCTTTGCACTGATGCAGCAGCATTCACTAAAGCGTGAAGTCCCAGCAGCTCCATGACAGCAGTCCATAGTTGATGTCTGCAGTAAAATTTGTACCCACAGGCTAGAAATATTCTCCGTCTGTTTTTAAACTCTGACAGAATCACTATATTAAAGAGTGTCCTTGCACAGACAGCATAGGGTATACTAACATCCCAGCCCTACAGATGCACCTGCAGAGCTCCTGTTGCCCCATCTGAAGGAATGAACTACAATTTACACAATCTAGCAGAGGTCATGGGCAAAGATTGCTTGCCTTAAAGCTCCATAAACTATTTTTAAATGCTCAAATGAACTTTCATGAAGTGAAACATCAGGTTTCAATTAAGATGCCTTCATTTCCCAATCTGATGTGTGTTAAACAACCTATCAAAACCTCATAAACTTTCATTTCCGGATTCTCTCTTCTCCTCTCAGCTTAAGTAATATCTTGTGTATTAACATAACGTGTTTAAAAATAAAAACAAATCTGAAGAAAATAAAGGCAAAAGTCTGATGATTTCTGTCCTTTACCAGGGCAGCAGTCCTTGTTTTCTGGAAGACAAATCAACACCACATCGTTCTAAGGGTAAGTTCTGGAGAATGCAGAGAGGTGAAGTAAGTTACTTCCTAACTGACGGGAACATTTGAGATAAGATACCTTCAGTGCACAAAGCAAAAATCCAGTGCTTCCAGAACCCCATGACAGCTTCTGTATGTACATATGCAGCAATGCATTTCACAAAAGACCCACTCTATGTGGCTGAATCTGTCTACACATCTTGCACACCGCATTTTAAGAAGAGAATTTCCTATCTCCAGGCACCCCCACCTGATCTGCACAAAACAAACGTCTCTAATATTTCTGAAGACTTCACGATATAATTGGAGCATGGAAAATGAGGTACTATTCTGTCTAGTCCAAATCCACGTTGCAACATGGCAAATCTCCTGTACTGATAACAATGGAAGGACAATGCCAGGGGCAGAGCAAGCAGACCTTGTCCAGCAAAAGTGCTTCTCTCTGGGTTTGTCAGCTGCGCTAATGTGCCCAAAAATGTCACGTGTGGACTCTATCAACAACTATATTACATGTGTACATGAGTAATTTACCCACCTAAGTAATACTTTCTCTAATGGTTGATATATTAGGTAGAGCAAATATAAATAGGTTCTGAGGACAGTGTTGCAGTGTGAGATAATCCAGAAAACCCAAGTCACCACCTACTTCACACTAACACTCCAAAAAGCTGTACTGGGGGTGAGAGATATGAGAATAACCATGAAGATTTTTTTTTACTAACTACAACCTAAAACTGTGTTTTGCATTGTTTTCTTTTGTAAGCTTTTACATCTAAAACTTGTCACTGTAAGATCAGAATTTCTTACCAAAGGCCTCATAAAACAAACCTTTACCCTCTCTTACTATAAGCCTGGGATGCAACTTTACAGTTGCTTTCAAGGCACTGTTGAAATGTTGATGATCCCCCACAAAATCCTCAGTGTGTTCCAAGGAAGGATCTTGCCTTGGCCTGAAGAAGGCTGAGCGCTGCCACCATAACAGAGCCAAAGTCCCTTCCCTTCAATGTCCAACAGCGGAGGCCCAAAGGAAAAGTAAGAACAGCGTAAGCCTACTCTGCTGCTTCGTCTCTCATCCGTCCCTGTGGTTTTGCTTGCTTTGCTTTATACCTACCCCTCTGCCCATCAGGCCGTTGTTGAAAGGCAGTCCAATGAAGCTGAAAGCTGCCTCCTGGATGAAGTAGGGATTCAGGATACGTATCTCATGAGGTTCTCTTGGGACACGAGTTGCCACTGACTTCCAAAAGCCATCAGAGGCACTCTGGTAACAAAAAAAATGGAAAAAAAAGGGAAGATAAACAACAAACACAATTATATACAAAAGACAGCAGATTGCTATTATTCTTTAAAAAAAAAAAATTAAAATGCACTTCTGGCAGCAGTTCCTGCTGTCCCTGCTCACTGCCACAAGGCACTAGTATAAGGTTGTAGTGGGGGGTGCATCCTAGAGGGGTGACAGCAGCATGTGCAGATGCACTTGAGCTAGTCTTGATGACAAGCGTGAGGAAGACAGAGAGGCCCGGGCTTCAGCACGAATGACCCCCTCCTTGGTGACATCTTTTCACTCTTACTGGCACTTCAGCTAGTTTGGTTAATGGCTTAAGCATTCCAGCACACCCTGTGATTACTCCCACCTGCGTCCAAGAGGATGTACCATGGGATAGCAAATGCTTTTAAGAACATTCAAAGAGCTAAAAATGACCGTACAGCTCTACTTTCAACGTGAGCTACATGCTTCCCACTTGATCCTAGATTTATCCTCTTCTGTTAGGTTTTACGTGAATTAATCTGTAAGCTTATAAAGGTGCCATCTTGTCTTGTGAAGAGTCATGCATGTTCATGGTACAAGGGAAAAAACAACTAAGTATGTCCTTTATGTTTACCCAATAGATTGTTTTTTAATTAAAGTCTTCACCCTGCAAACATGGGAGAACACTGGCCTTGAATACTGCTGCCCTGCTAGACAGCCCTGCCTAGAGAGGGGCTCGTGCCTCTCTGCCACATTACTTTATATCATTGCTCCTGCTGGTCCAGATGTTAGGGGGTATAGCATGTACTGCCCTCAAAATAAGCGGAGGCTCCGTATTCACAGGACTTACAGAACAATTACGTTCTAACATTTCACTTCTGTTTGGGTTAAAAATTCAGAGCAAGGCACAGGGAGGATGGCAGGAATTTTAATCTGCTAACCAACAGCTTTGGCAGGGTAATCTGACTGAATACCTCCTCGCAGCATTGAGCCATCTTCCCTGCGATCTCCATGACAAGCAACAGAGGCAGACGTTACACTCTACATGAAAAGCATGCGCTTTGGAAGTCATTATTTACACCAGTTTTGGGTTGCTTGCAGCTTAACAGTGACTTTACAGTTGCTTTCAAGGCACTGCCGAAAATGTTGATGATCCCCTGCAAAATCCTCAGGAGCCTCCCCCGCCCAGTAGTGATTACCCCTGTAATTATCGATGGTAATTATGCCACAGCCGATGCCTGCTGCATTTCACACACTACTTGTACTGCGCACGGCTCCTGTGAACTCTCATGCCACGTGGTGCTACACACCTTACAGAGGCTTCCTTATGGAACAATCCCATGGTTATCTTTAGCTGCTGAATTTCAGATCCTGAAGAATGAAACTTTGGTAGATGGCTCTTGCTACAAAAGGCATTAACACAGCAAACCCGATGAGGATGCACACTGTTATCCAAACCAACAGCCTAAGACAGCCAAATGCCATTGCTATCCTGTTTTGATCCCACGTGCCCCCTCAAAGCTGCCCAAACATAATACGCTTTTGCTGACCGGGGCAAGGATCCCGTGAGCTTAATTTTGCATTTCGACAATAGCACAGTGCTCTCAGGACCCTAAATGGAAAAAATCCTAATTAACACTCATGTTCTTTCATCATAGTTGAATTAGAAAGAATGCCTGGTGTCAAAGCGGTCTAACACCTTCCATTATAATATGAATTTTTCAGCCACTGAGTGATCCCACCATTTAAAAAAAAAAATTAGGAAAAAAAAAATCAACTTCACAAATGTTAATAAAGTCCAACATCCACTCGACCAAGGGATTTGAGGGATTTGGTATGTCAGCTGAGTTTTGCCTCCTTGTGAAAATTCATTAAAAATTGGATAAATACTAAACCTTAGGAATTTCCTAAAGGCACATGTAAAGCAGAGGCCTTTCAGTTCCAGGGAAGGAAGGGAAAAAAAAAAAAGATTAAATAAAAAAAATTCACAGATTCCACTTGCATTAAGCACGCTCCAGGTCTCACAGAAATGAAGATGATAAACAAAAATCTTGAACAGCTACTCATTCAGTGAAACTATTTTATCATGGGTTTAAGCAGGCACATCCTGGAAAAATAGTGTGTGACCTTGAAACTAAAATAAATTTATAAGTTCAATTACGATTTCACATGCAACTCTAAACATGGCATTGCCTAAATTTTGCAAACAATTCAAACCAAAGGTCTGCAAGCTATTTAAAGTGGACAAAAGCTGCCTTTTGTTTGGACTCACACTCCATAGGAGATTCTACATAAGTTCTGAGATTTAAGTAGGTTTTACATGGCTTTTACATTACACACAAAACATTAAAGAGAAAAGAAAAAGAAGAAAGATTACAAACGTTTGAGACACTTATTCTTCGCTATTGCTTGAGCTGTTCAGAAAGAGATAACTACACATACCACAGTTGCCCATTTTCCCTGTGCTGTGTGAACCACTAGGACCATACCTGGGCTCCTCTCCAGCGTTCGATGCCAGTGCAAAATCAATGTGGACCCCATCCCTAACTGGGAATACAACCTGTCTGCTTTGGTCCCTTCTGTGTGGCTGTTTCTCCTATCATTCATCCAGACTATTTCCCTAAGCATTTTCCTCAGCTATCACACTGCTCTGAAATTGCTCTGGTTTCTCCCTTCTGTCTCATTTCTATTTGCTCTGTGTTCTTCCCTGTAACTTTTCTGGGCAGTTCCCCTGAGATTATTATTGAGAGATGCCTGGGGTAATCTTTCATTTTGGTGTGTTTTCCCTCTGTAGTTTCTAAAACAATTGTAGGGAGAAATGTGGAGTCCCAGCAGACAGCTCTCATACTTCCACCTATACAGTAGGCAAAGCCCCGTATAGGGCTAAAGAACTAAATACTGTTTTCCTGGCTTATAATTACTGAAATTCTCAGCCTTGTGGTTTGGCTCTACTAACCCTGTAGTTTTGAGCTACATCTCAAGCCTTGTGGTTTTGTTCTGCAGCTTGTCACTGGCAAGCTACGAAACGCAGCACCACCACAACTGCAAGCCCCGGGAGGCTGCTCCCCTGACGCAACCCCCTCGGGAGCTGCGGCGTCAGGAGCGCAGCCCCTTCCAAGGCTCTGCGCTACCGCTGATGCTCGGCCGCGGGCCGCCGCTACGCCTGGTGTGGATGTTCAGTCTGATTGGACACAGATGTTCAGCGAGGTTTCCAAAGCAATTACTTCCCGTCGGGGAACGCTGTCCCTTTTTAGGCTGGGAGGAGACAGGCAGCCACCCGAGGAGCAGCAGGCACTGGGAAGGAAGGCACGCTTTTCCTGCCAGATTCGAGAGCTCAGACTTGCAGTTTGAGGTCGGGGGCATCCCCTGTTCTCCGCTACAGTAACTAAGCCTGAAGTGCTTAAGAGTGGGCCTCTGAAGATGCAACATCGCCCTTCCTGATTATCATAATGATAAGGAGTCAGAAAGCGAGTCTGAAAACTGCTTGGGCAATGTTCCCACAGTACCTCATCACCTCCTGGAATTGAGGTGGAAACCATAGGGTCCAGGCTGGAAATCAGGTCTCCCCGTGTTAAGTTCCCGCCTTTACTATTTGTTGGTATTACTGTGCACCTGGAGCCTCAGTCACAGATCAGCGTTCACAGTGCCAAGGGCTGCCCAAAAGAGCTTATAGTATAAGCATAAAGAAACTAGCAACACAGAGGCAGAAGGAAAACATGACTGAAGAGCAAGTCTCTGAGGGCCACAGCATTGTTAAGCAATCTTGGAGTATTTTCAAAATTGTGTAATTGTAAAGGACATCACTAAAGGCTTTAGAGGAGACTATTTAAAAAGTAGAAAAAATTTAGATGGGCCAGGGCTTTCAAGCCAGTGTCTTGTCCAGCTGTCATCCAGGGAGAGAGGTAGAAATATCCCCTCTAGAGACACTACTCCAGGAATAAACAGGTATAGACATGACAGACCACAGAAGGCAGGTTACGAGGAAGGGATAAAAAATGGCAGGGCTCACCTAATAGTTACAGGGACAAGACAATCCAGCTATAATTCCTCATTCTGTCCATTTGCAGAATACTGAATAGGGACAGCCAGTTGTAAGCTATTTTTGTCTCCAGTCAGTTTTCCATCTCCTCTTCTCAGATTTACCAATGCGAATCACAACGTATGCTAAAATAAAACGTGGAAACTTGGAGCCTTAGCCAAAAGCACACCTCAAAAGAAGATACAAACAGCCAGAAGCAGGGTGAGTCTCCAGAATAACAACATTTCTAATAAACTAAGCAAAATGAGGTGGTAACGCTATTGCATCCTGATGACACGGATGCTGCCTCTTCTCTACCTCTGTGAGACTGCTAGATTTAGGAGTACAAGCAGCATTGCTCTGGAAGACTTCTAAGTGATGGCAAGGGGACAGGGAGACTGCAAAGGTCAGCTAAGCACAACACGAAGTTGAATAAAGTCTAGGTACGCAATACTCTGCTGCAAAGGAACAAGAAAGATGAAAAGACTGGAGAGAGAACCTGTGGTAAATGAAGATTATTGCTCTTTCAAACACGGATAGCACCAGAAATGGAGAGGAAGAAGGGCATGAGGGAAAGAAAAAGTGAGAGTGTGACATACTAGTCACAAGACCTCACTGTGCCTGGGAGCACACAGTTCACTGGGATCTCTGCCCCCACCTAGGCTGGAATGTGGTTTATCCTATACCCGTCATCCACAAGCACTCACTGTCACACAAACACAGGGTACAGAAGGACCGCTGCAATCCATCTGCAGAGGCTTTTGAAAGGTTTCTGCTCAGGCATAACTGGACTAGATGTGGAAGGTGTGTTTCTGCTAGAAAAGAACCATCTTATCAGCCAATGCTGCATTTCTCAGCGGTCAAGTAGACACGGAGGCCTACAAAATGCTCTTCTACAAGTGGTAATATAAATGAAATTGCATCATTTGCACTGATTATCAAAGCAACAAGGAATTTTTAGCAACAAGAACAGACGTGCTGAGAGCCTGCAGTC